AGGTCAGTGATATCAACTGTTTATAAAAAATGGACATGTATGTCTTGATTAAAGTACTTTGGGATGGGGACTACAGTCTGCAGAATCACTGACTTTTTGTATTCATCATCCATATTTCTAGCTGGAGACCCAAAAGTTTACCATTTTTGCTCCTGCATAATATTTCCCAGCTGAGCAAAACTGGCAAACTGCATGGCGTTCTGTCCATTTCCCATTAGTAGGGTGGATTAAAATTTTATTTGAGTTATACTAAGTGTGACAGGGTCAGGCCAGATGGCTATAGGAGAGTGCTAGAAGCTAGATACATTAGCCCCAGATTCAGCAGGTTCCTTCTCCCCAAGTAAGATAATGGGCTGTTTCAGAACCATCAGGAAGTTGCTGGAACCAACTAAGGCAGGCAGGCTGGCTAATTAGAACACCTGGTTTAAAGAGGACCTCACTTCAATAGTAAAGAGCATGCGAGGAGCTGGGAGCAAGAGGCGCACAAGGAGTTGAGAGTGAGAAGCTGTACTGCTGGAGGACTGAGTATAAGTATCATCAGGAGGAAGGTCCTGCGGTGAGGATAAAGGAGGTGTTGGGAGGAGGCCATGGGGAAGTAGTTGTAGTGGTCATGCAGCTGTTACATTGTAAGGAGAATAACAGCCGTGTTAGTCTGTATTCGCAAAAAGAAAAGGAGTACTTGTGGCACCTTAGAGACTAACCAATTTATTTGAGCATGAGCTTTCGTGAGCTACAGCTCACTTCATCAGATGCATCTGATGAAGTGAGCTGTAGCTCACGAAAGCTCATGCTCAAATAAATTGGTTAGTCTCTAAGGTGCCACAAGTACTCCTTTTCTTTTTGTAAGGAGAGTGATCACTTTAGATAAGCTATTACCAGCAGGAGAGTGGGGTGGGGGGAGAGAAAACCTTTTGTAGTGATAAACACCCATTTTTTCATGGTTTGTGTGTATAAAAAGATCTTCTGTACTTTCCACAGTATGCATCTGTGGAAGTGAGCTGTAGCTCACGAAAGCTTATGCTCAAATAAATTGGTTAGTCTCTAAGGTGCCACAAGTACTCCTTTTCTTTTTGCGAATACAGACTAACACGGCTGCAACTCTGAAACCTGTAGACAGCTGTGATCCATAAGGCCCTGGGCTGGAACCCAGAGTAGAGGGTGGGCCTGGGTTTCTTCCCCCCACCCCATCTTCTTATTTGATACAAGAGGAGTTGACCTGGAGTGTGGGTCCCACCAGAGGGTAACGTCCCTGGCCTGTCCCCCGACCCACTAGGTGGATCAGCAGAGACTACGGGGATGGTTCTCCTCCCTTTCCCCATGCTTGCCAGTGATTAGGTTAGGTGAATGAAAGGCAGGTTTAAGCCACTAGCAAAAGTGGCCAAACTGAGGGCTGCCATGAATCTGAGGCGAGCAAATCTGCCAATAAAGCGCAGGACCCACCAAGGCAGAGGAGGAACTTTGTCACATAAGGTTTATTTTTTAAAAGAAGATTTAAAATTAAATCTGAATTTAACACAACATATTAAAGGTATCAAGGCCTAAAATGATCTCTCAAAAGACATAAATATGTTCAATCAAGGAGCCTATCAAAAATTGAGTTAAAGACAGAGGAAAATACCTAGCCTGACGTCAAGCTTTACAAATATGGCACAACTGATCATGCACGGTATTAAGGGCTTGCTTTAATAAAATAAATTTTATATGCTGTTGTGTTTAATTAAATTCCAGTTACCATCCTAATGCAGCTTAACACATCACGAGCAAAAAATTATCTAGTAAATAAGTAATATAGTATTCATCATTTTCTAACATACTAAAAATGTACAATTAATAAGAACCTGGAAATATTAAGCTACATAATTGCTTAAGTAAATATACACAGTTGTGGCATAACCAGTGTAAAGGCTCTAGTTGTAAAAATCAACTTCTTGTAACTGTTAGATCAAGAATTGGGAATGCACCTTTCTTTAGAAAATAACTAAAATATGAATGGAAAAGTTGATACCAGATTTATAACCAAGGCTTTTTACTTGGTGATTTAAATAATTTAAAATCACCTTGATTTAAATCAATCCACTCTGCACCATTACTACAGGGAATTCAACCACCCAGGACCACAGAAAGCACCAACTGAACAGTTACTCTTGTATTCCACCAAGATGCGGCAGAGTAAGGAAGAAGAGTTTCGAAGGAGGAGAGAAAAGGTGTGCAAATGGCAAGAAGATCCTTATTGGTAAAACCTCTTTCTGGAGAGGATATCCTCCCTCTTCCCTTTGTGTGTGGGGGTGGGGGGGAGAAGCATGGAGGGAAGGTAGAAAGGAATCATGCTTCCCCATCAAGTTGAGACATTTAGGAATTAAGGATGAAATCCAGTTTCAACCCATTAGCTGTCAAGTTTACCATTCAATTCCTGGATATCTGATCACTGAGTCAACAGAACAGTTGGATACAGATTTCAATTATTTCTAAACTTTTCTATTTACCTTGTTAAAACAATACTGGCTAAACAGCTGTTAACCACAGAGTGTAGGTCTGGCAATATGTAAAGTGTCTTGCAAACATGTTTTTGTCCACTAATTATTCAAAAGCTATTTCATGAAGGAGAAATCTTTCATTAATTTGTTTAGGAGCTACCTCATACAATAAATTAGGGCATTAACCTTTCACTCCTGAAAATCTGGGCTCAAAACCTATTTTGAGTCACAAGTGAAACTAAGTCTAGTCCCATTCCAGTCCCCCAGATCGTCTGCTCACAAAACTAGATCACTACACAGACAGAATTTGGTATTTGACATTTTTCTAGAGGTCCAAAAGTAGAATATCCAGGATAAACTAGATCAGGATTGAGGTGCACTCTCAAAAAGTTATTCAAGTACACATATGTGCTACATTATGGCAGATTCAAGTGAGTGTTATTTATTAATTTCATTACCACAGGATTCACTCAATTCTTCAGAAGGGAAAACAAATCAAATATTTCAGAATTTGGATTTAGTAACTTCTAGTTTTCAAAACTGAAATAGCTGTTGTAAGGGAATTTTTTGTATTAAAAGACATCAATACTAAAATACTTTGAAGTAAGTTTCAGAAACATAAAAAAGAGTTACCTCAAGACTACCACAAGCAACTGCAATATTTAAAACTAGCCTGGAGTGAATACAAGACATTCAGACTAATCAAATGGCCTAGAAAGAGTCCAAACACTTCACTTCTGAAGTTCTCCCAGTCCAAAAATCATATGCTAACAGGAGGCAATGGCAAACAAGTATATTTAAATCAGAGATTTCCATGACCTATAGTTTACATGTTATCTTTTCTGAAGCATAAAAGCTGATAAAATTACCAGTCATTTTTTCCCTCCACTCTCTAAAACTGCACAAGATCCATACGTTTATGGACTACAAATCAATTCTTTTTGTCGCTGTTTTTGGTAAATCTGTTTTACAAGAATTTTTTTTAATCTTAATGGAATCCTTTTGTATTTGGTAGCTGAAAACTAGATGAAAAAATAATTTAAAAATATCTCATGGTAACCACCACTTTGTACTGGTCAAAATGAAGATTTAGATCTAATTTACTCTTAGTTTCTGAATTTCCTCTCAAGCTTGAACAGAAAGTCAGTTTTAACTCAATTTCACTTCCATATTCCCACTGACAAGCAGCCTGCTGCAGTGTTCTGGCTACAGGGTGGAGGAATTTTAAACTTAAAAACACATTTCAATTTCAATTAAAAAAAACAGATCAAAATAAGACACCCAATATGAACTTTTTAGAAGCTAGTTTTTAATAACCCAAATTTGAACTTGAAATCAAATGAATATGGCTGTGTTACTCAAGTTTCAAGACAGGTTTCAGAGTAACAGCCCTGTTAGTCTATATCCACCAAAAGAAAAAGGAGGACTTGTGGCACCTTAGAGACTAACCAATTTATTTGAGCACAAGCTTTTGTGAGCTACAGCTCACTTCATCGGATGCGTTAGTCTCTAAGGTGCCACAAGTCCTCCTTTTCTTTTTTCAAGTCTCAAGAGTTAGCCACAAACCTAATACCGGCATCAAGCACAACTCTCTCCTGGCCACTGCACCAAACCCACACGCAATCTCCACTCTTATGTTGTGAGAGAGGCAAATTAATTTGTTTATTTAACTTTTAAAAATAAAAAAAAAGTTAAATAAATAATCTCCACACTGAAGTTGCAAGAAGCAGAGAAAGGAGACACGGGAGAGATATCCTGCCATCCTGAGATGGAGAGGCTGAAGATATAGCTGCTCCATGGATTCCTCTTATCAGGAAAGCGCATGAAGCCGCTTGAGAAAGGACCAAAGATGTACCTCCTACCCGAGAGAGCTCTTATTAACCCTTCTTCACACGTGGCCGATGAAAATGTGTTTAAAGAAAAACAAACAAGGCTTCACGACGAAAAATCCAGCCCACGCTGTAACCGCTGAGGAACCACAGGGCTCGAACCTGCTCCCCACGGATCAGCAGGAAACTAATGTACCACAGAAGCACGAGTGGTCTCCAGAGCCCGGAGACCTGCCATGCAGTGCGGAGCGCGAAAGCCACAGGGTCCTTGGCCCGTCACGCGCAGGGCTGGCTGTCAGACGCGCGGCCCCAAGGAGGCTGGGCAGCCCCTCTGCCCGCAGGACAAACGGACAGGGACAGACGAGGCTGCCGCCTTGCTCTGAGAGAAACCTCCTCAGCCAGGCAAAGATGAGGGGGGGGGTGACATGGGGCCCCACACCCACCCCGGGGCACGGGGCATTTCAGCCCGCACCGGGGGTGTAATTGACTGGGTCCCCCTCCCCCACCACGAAGTGGCCTACACACAACAGAGACCGAAGAGGGGGGCTGTGGTGCCGAGCGCCTTTCCCAGCCTCACCGCCTGGCTGGCCATGCCCGGCCAAGGAAATGAGCACGGACTCGGCTACAAGGGAGGAGGAGCGCAGCCGCCCTCAGCGCGGGATCCGGGCGCCCTGGACGAAGCGGGTCTCGCACTCACCGGCATCATCTCCGGAGCGGTTCCTCAGCCTCCGTCGCTCCCAGCCTCCTTCGCTGCCGCGCGGGCTGCTTCCCTCAGCGGCCAGGGGAAGCGGAGACCGTGGCCGCAGCGACGAGAGGCGCCTCTCGCTTCCCCACAGGCCTCGCTTCCCGGTGGCTGCTGCCCACAGCGGGGAGAGGGCGGCGGCGGCGGCCGGGCTCCCCAGCCCCTCACTTCAGCGCTTCCTGCTCCGCGTTCCCTGCCGCTCCGCCAGGCCAGGGGTTAAACGACAGCGCCGCCTCCCCATTGGCCGGGACGGAACGCCTCGATCGAGGAGGGGGATGGGGCGGAGGGGGGGGGGTAAAGGCATGCGCGCGCACACACACACGCGCGCGGGGGGGGCCTTTAGCCCACGTGACACCAGCAGCGCGCGCGCTCTCTCTCTCTCTCTCTCTCTCTCTCGCTGTGCTAGTGTTGTTATTATCCGCCCCCAAGCGGGGCCCCGCCCCCGGGCACCTAGGTTCTCCCCCCTCCCATCCGTGCCCTTTATTGTCAGGTGTCCTAGCCCTTTCCCCTGTCTTCTGCGCCTGCCTTGTCACCCCAGACCCTCTCCCGTCCTCTGCTGCCGGGCTGTGTCCGCTCCTCCGCTGCGTCGCCCGGCCTGTCCCCAGGGCCCGGCCCGGCACCACTTTTCCTCACGCTCGTGTGCAGCGCCTGCTCTGCCCCCCACCCCCACCCCAGCCGCGCTCATTTTCTGCTGACGCCGCACCCTGGGCCCGCTGCAGAGGCAAACTGGGCCCGTCCCCGCCCTGTTCCCAAGGCAGCGGACCTGGCCTGCGACTTCCATCTCCCGAGCAAACGTAGGCTGTCCCCGCCTGCCCCCGCTGCTTGCCATGTTCTGTGTTACTGTTGCTTCCCATCACTGAACCGGGGCGCTAACAGGCGCTCTGGGGGCCAGGCTCTTGCCCCAGGGGGGCTGCAGGAAAAAGGCCACTCTACAGGGCCATTTGTCGCAGCGGAGCTGACAGGCTTCCCACAGACGTCACCCGCTGCTGGAATGTGGGGAATGCGGATTTGCAGGGGCAAAGTCCTCAGAGCGTCCCCATCCCCGCCTCCTCCTGCCCTACACTGAAAGCAGGCTGCAGCGACAACTGCAGGAAGGAGCCGGAGGGCCCTCACTGAAGGTGTAACCCTTCTGATCAGCGCTCTCCGGAGGTGCGGGAGTGCGGCGTGCGACGTGAAGCCTGAAGGACAAAAGCATCCTCAAGCAATCCATCTGACAATAAGTAAATAACAGAGGTTGTTTAACTGTTACAGGAAAAAGACGAGATAAAATAATGCAATAATATTTCTTTATTTCTAGCACCCTGTCCCTGGGCATCCTACAGGATCATAATAGCTACACTGCCCTTGAAACAGCTGGCTGCTGTCCGCCATACAATAGTGCATAACAATAAGGGATGAGAAATGTAGCCAAGGACACCGATGTAATGATTCTATGGTTCTCATTGTTCACACATAAGTTTCAAAGGCTTCTTTGGAAGTCACTTCGTGTAGCTTTTAAAAATTGTTTTGTTTTGCAGAACTATAAAAATAAAGTTAATTTAACAGCTCGGAAGATGTTAATCTGTTATGAGTCAAAGCAGCAAAATAAGCCTATTCTATTACATATATACAAATATCATATGGTTATGTAAGTCTTACCAACATTTCTCTTAGTCTAGAAAAAGATTAATTAGTCATACTGTTGGATCTACTGTATGGATAAAAAATCCTCTTTTGTTTGAACTGCTGATTTCTGTGTTCTTCATTTCTTTCAGCATATACCATGTAAATTGTTTGTCAAGACACTGAATACTTAAATATAATTGGAGGTATTTTTTAACATATTAAATAGAATAGGCTGTTAAAAGGTAAATTAAAGATTTTTAGCTGAGAGAGCCAGCTGGAGATTTGATGACTCTTATGAACCCTTGGAGCCCACAATACAACCAAATAATATTTTATTTTGGTTCTGCAGGTAGAAGAGAGTGGGCTGAAAATCCTAGACTGAAGGTCATGTGGTAACTTCAGCTGCTTATTTAATATACCATAAATTTATTCTGACCTTTTAGCAGTGCGCATAGCCTTAAAAAGACAGTTCATAAATATCAAAAATTGTATTGCATATCCATGTGTCTCAATGCACCAGTTCTCATCTCTGTTTTGAATGTTGTAATATGGCCACCTTTGAGTTGCCACCTTTGAATAAAATTGTCCTGGTGGACAAACCTGTTGGCATCATAACACAATGTTTTGTCAACCTACAATTATTTTGCAAGTATTATGCAAAGTGCTACTAGCTGGCAGTAAGATGTAGGACAGTGACATCCTTGTAAACTAATTCCACCTCCCGCAAAGATTTAGGAATAGGAAAGACTAGGATAATGGGACATAAGAAAAAGACAAATTCAGATTTACTCAGAATTGCTTTATTAACCTGGAGCTAGGCAGATCTAGAATAAAATACACTATACATTACCATAATTATTGATATACCTTAAAATAAGCAGTTATTTAACTATATTCTTCCTCAAATATATTCTAAATATTTTTAACAAACTGGTAAAAACCATGAACAATAGCAGTGAATGGAGTTTCCCTACCTCTCCCAGTGTTTATATTGCAAAATCCTGAGTCTAATTGTGGCTAAAGGACCATTTTTGAAATTCTTTGCCCATCTTTATTTTTCCAAATGTATGCCCTCCTTGTTATTCAAGGTGAAGTTTGGTCAATGGTTCTCAAACTATGGTCTGTGGACCACTTATTGGTGGTTGTGCAGATAGGTGACTGGTGGTGATTTCTCCTCCTTGTTTTCAATAATAGCATTAAAAGAAGTTAAAAATACAATAAATACTTTCAAAATATTATTTTGCCATGTAAACAATTGCTATATGTGCTGCTGCTAATGCTACATGAGTGGTAATGCTACATGAGTGGTAATCAGAGAGGAGGTGGTCCTGTGGTTAGGGTACTCGCCTTATAGATGAAAAACCCATGCTCTTGTCCCTTCTCCTGTCAGACAGAGGGGGAATTAAACTGGGCTCTCCCATGCCCCTTGTGAGTACCCTAACCACTGGGCTAAAAATTATAAAGGAGACTGCTGCTGCCATTGCCTTCTTTCTGCTTCCTCCCTCAAGATCCTTTTGTGTGGAGCTGGCATGCACTGCTGCTGTTCTTGCAAGAAAAGAGTTAGGTGCTGTGGATCCCAAACAGAGATATGTGCCTCCCTCCAACTCAGACTTAGGTGCTTAACTCCCCAAGAAGGTTAGGATTTAGGATACACCCCTCTCCATCACATCTACAATTATTTAACTTAGGCAGCTCAGACTTTTCTGGATCTCATTCTCGGGCATCAGTATGTCTCCGACTCCATGCATTGTATAGAGAGCATAGGCACCTAACCTAGAGTTTGTGGATTCCACTGGTTGGCTGGGGGTGCTATCCATGAAGCAACTTAGATGTCTAAACTCCAGGTGCCTAACTCCCTGTATGCAGCACCACTGTGATCCACAAAATTCCTATTTGGCTGCTGCTTAACTTTCAAGGTTCCTAATCTCACTTGTTGCCTAACTTTCCTGAGTAAGAGTTCCTGAGGTGCTTAAGTTTTAGACCCTGATGCATGCATGCTGCTGCATCTCTCTGGGCCTGTGGTTCCCAAACTTGTTCCGCCGCTTGTGCATGGAAAGCCCCTGGCGGGCCGGGGCCGGTTTGTTTACCTGCTGCGTCTGCAGGTTCGGCTGATTGCGGCTCCCAGTGGCTGTGGTTTGCTGCTCCAGGCCAATGGGAGCTGCTGGAAGCAGCGCGGGCCGAGGGACGTTCTGCTCTAGGCACGTGGGTGCTTATCCCCTGCCAAATCCCAGAACTAGTCACAAACGGAAAAACAGGCATTAGTCCACCTAAGTCACATGCAGGGCCTGATTTGGTAGGTGGCTTCCGAGCATGCCTACTAGGTCAAGTCCCATTCAAAAGCTGTCTGGATGACATGGTGGTCTTATAAGTTCTGGCCTCCTGGTTAGTGCACTTACTGGGGATGTGGGTGACCCAGGTTCAATTTTCACCTCTCTCTGAGAGGAGGAAGAAGGATTTGAATAGGGGTCTCCCACACCTTTCAGGAGGGTGCTTTAACCACTGAGCTGGAGGTAGTAGAGGGTTTCCTCAGTCTCTCCTCTTTAACCGTTTCTCTCTGGATAAATATTTAAATAGCTATGGGGCCAGAGAGAGAACAAGTGCAAGAATTACTCTGTAGTTCAGTGGTTGGGGTTCCTACATGGGAGGTGGGAGACCCTTCAGCCAGTCCCCCTTCTCCAATTGTTCTTTTGTTATTTAGCCCCAGTGAACAGTTTCATCAGGAGAGATTGAGGGAGCCCCAGATCAGAATATCCCAGAGCTTAGTGATTAGAGAGCTCTCCTGAGAGATAGGAGACCCTATTCAAATTACTCCTGGGGACTTCTGTGCCAAAAAATTAAAAATTCTGTGCACAATATTTTAAAATTCTGCATATTTTATTTGTCAAAATACAACATAATCACACTTCTGCTGTCAGCCCCAGGCAGCTGGGGGTCCTGCTGATAGCCCCACGTGCCTCGGGCTCTGCAGTCAGTCCTGCTTGGCTGAGGCTCCTGCTGTCTGTGGGAGCCCCAGCCATCCATGCCAGGTGCAGATAGGAGTGTTGGGAGGAAATCACAAATGCTGTGGAAAAAAATAAAATTCTGCAGGAAACATTTATTCTGTGTAAATTTTGCATTGTGCATTGGCATAGAAGTATCAGTTTTTTTCCCTCCCCCTCTGACAGAGGGGGGAATTGAACTGGGGTTTCCCACCTCCCAAGAGTTATTTAAATACTGTGCTAAAAGTTATAAGGTGGGCATTGGCACCATCACCTCCAGCTGTTTTGTGTGCAGCAAGACAGGTGCCAAACTCATGTTCACACGTGGCATAGGGCATTTAAGCCCCCCTGACTTCAGGTGGCTGGTTCCTGTTCATGGATCACTAGCAGAGATAAGTGCCTGTCTCTAAGAGATTTGTGAGGCTTACCACACACACCTATTGTTGTTGGCATCTCCCATTGGCTAGTTTTGGCAACTCCCTGTCTAGCATATTGGCTTGTGTGGATCATATGCTTCGGCTCTTCTCTCTCCCCATTCATTGTATAGGAAACCTATGTGCCTTACTTTGCTTTGTGAGTCACAACGTTGCTCCTGAGAGTTTCTAGGCCCCTAAAAATTAGGTGGTGTGATGTGAAGCGGTGCAGTGTCTAAGGCCCTTAGTGGTTCAGGTCCTACATACATAGC